AGAAAGAGAGGCAAAGAAACAGGCAATGGAGAAGACAATCTCCAGGTTAGTTCGCAAGTGACCTACTAGCTCCAACTAGGTCCTGCCTCCCAGAAGTCTATTCAGCTATCAATAAATTAATCCTCTGATGAGGTTAGAGAACTTAGGATACAATCATTTCCTAAATTCCCCATCTGTGCAACTTGATGCACTGGGGACCATGCTTTCCGCACATGAGCCCTTTGATAGATCCAAACCATAACACTAAAACAATCCTTACTCCTTTCAATAAATATTTATTCAAACTGCATCTTAGATATATTTTATTAGTATTATTAACATTATTTTAAATTGGGAACTCATAATTATAAATATTTATGGAGTAACATGATTTTTTATATATGTATACAATATGGAATTATTAAGAGGTCAAGCTCATTAACATATCTATCTAGTCATTCAATGATCTGATATTTTTGTGGTAAAACATGTTAAACTTACTTTTAGTTATTTTGAAATATATAATAAGGTTCTCATTAAATTTTTCTGCATATGTTATCCAGTTTTCTCAAAACCAATTGTTAAAAAGGCTGTCTTTTCTCCAATGTATGTTTCTGATATCTTGTCAAGGATCAGATGACTGTACATGTAGAAGACATCTCTGTATCTTCTATGGTATTCCACTGAGGACATGTCTGTTTTGATGCCAGTGTCTTGTAACAATCATTTTACTCTCTACTTCTATTAGTTAAACTTCAAGACCAAAATTTTAATATAAGACATTTATAAAATAACATCAGAAAGTGTCTAGGTGACCTTGAATTTGACAGTGGATTTTAAAATTCAATAGCAAAATACAATCCATGAAAAAAAAAAAATACTAGTAAATTTGAAGTTTGGTAAAATGAAAAAAATTAAGAACCTGGAAGGCTGAGGTGGTAGGAATATATGAGTCAAGTAGTTTAAGACAAACCTGGGCAATATAGTGAGATACCATCACAAGTAATGCATGAACCAACCAATCAATCAATCAATCAATAACTAATGCTCTGGAAAAATTGTTGAAAGAATAAAGAAACAAATCATAGACTGGGAAAATACATTTACACAACAAATATCTTCTTAAAATCTACATCCAAAATATAAAAGTAACTCCAAAAATACAATAATAAGGAAAAAAAACATAATTAATAAATAGATTTTTAAAAACCTGAAAACCCATTTTACCAAAGGAAATCTACACATGGAACAAAAGCTTATTGAAAACTACATAATACCATGTGTCATTAGGGATTTTCAAAATGGCACTACTATGCCACAATTGAAATGGCTATTTTTTTTTTGACAAATGACAATATCAATTACAAGTGAGAATATGAAGTAAAAGGAACTTTCATGTGTGTTGGTCAGAATGAAAAGTGGTACATTCACTGTGGAAGTCCACTCTGAAGTTTCTTGCAAAGACATAGTTTTACTTTACAATCCAGCAATTTCATGCCTAAGTATTTGTCTTAATGAGTCAAAAATTTATGTTCAACAAAAGCCTGCACATGAATATTTATGGAAGATTTGTTGATAATCACAAAATGGGAAGCAACCCAGATGTCTTTGTCCTGGTTAATAGATGAACACACAGTACTTCATGCATAAAACAGAATATTACTCAGCAATAAAAATAAATGAGGTATGAATCCATAAAAAGACATGGAGGTATTATAAATGTATACTAGTAAATGAAAGATGGTAGTCTAAAAATGCTATATACTAGAAAGTTCAAACTATACAACATTTTGGAAAAGGTAAATTTATACAGAGAGTTAGAAAACTCAATAGATACCAGGAAAGAGGGGAAGGTAAATAGGTGAATCACATGGGATTTTAGGGTGGTGAATGCATTCTATCATTATGCATTTGTCAGAACCCGCAAAACTGTGTAACTCAGAGTGAAACAACATAAGTTATGGAATACAGCTAATAATGCAGTGCCAATTTGGGGTCATTAATTGCAGCAAATGTGTCCCACTAATGCAAGATGAAAATCACAGGGGAAAGTATGTGATGTAATAGAGAGGTAGGTATGGTGTGGATACATGTTACTGCATGTATTATCTGTCCAAATAGTTTGTATTGATAAAATTTCCACCTTAACAGCAGAAAGTAAAAGCAAACAAGAAATTAATGAAGTCAGAAAAAAAAGAACTATCAGCACAGAAATCAATTAAATAAAACACTTGTAAAATCTATAAAAACAAAAACTGGCTCTAGAACAAATAAAATAACCTTGATAAATCTTGAGAAGAATGACAAGTAAATTTAATAATAGACACAAGTTACCAATATTAGGAATGTGAGACATTATATCACTAAATATTCTATGGATATTAAATGAAAAGTCAACTTGTCCTGTTGGCACATTCTTGTAATCACCATGGCTCAGGAGATTGAGACAGAAGAATTGCAAGTTTGAGGCCAGCCTCAACAACTTAATAAAATCCTAAGCAACTTAGTGAGACCCTGTTTCAAAATAAAAAATAAAAAAAAAATGAAAAGAGATAGGGATGTGGGTTCACTGGTTAAGCACTTCTGGGTTCAATACCAAGTGTAAAGGAACACCTGTGGAGGAATACCTGTAAGGAGGTGCACAAAGAACAGACACAGACACAAAAGTACAAGCAAAAAGATAGGAAGGGAGGAGAGGAGGAAAATGAAGTGATGATGAGGAAGTACAGAAGTGAAATGACCACTCTTCCCTGCCTGGGAGTTTATAATTCAAAGAACATATACTTCCTATTACCATGACTATATTCTAATTAGTATTTCTTTAACCCAAGTGCTAGCTAACTGAGATAAGATCCCCTTAATACAAACACAGAGTAATTTCTCCCCAAGGACATTGTTAAGGAGACCCGATAGTGACTGCTTAGTTGTCTAATTACCTCACAGGGAGGAGGCTGGGTATGCCAATTGTGGGAATCAGGGCACCAGTTAACACCCCTGGGAATTTGCTCACCAGGGGAAATGCTTCCATGTCTATTTCCATGGACAGAATATCTACAAACAAGCACTCAACCACATTCCCCTCAAAAAAAGAATCAGAAAATATTATGAATTACTTTATGCCAATAAATTTGACAACTCTTATAAAATGAATAAATTCTTACAAAGTTCAAAATAAATCAAAACTTACTCAAGAAGAAATAGGTTTGGTCAATTGTCTTGTTTCTATAAAAGAAATAGAAATTTTAGTTAAAAACCTTTCTACCAATAAGAATCCAATCTCAAGTGGCAACAATATTGAATTCCAATTACAAAAGGAAGAAGTAATACAATTTTACACAGAACTATAAAGATGAAGATGAAGTGCTTTTCAACTCACTTAATGAGTCCAGTATTATTCTCATGAAAAAAAAAGGAATGAGCATTGCAAGAGAAGATTATTACAAACTAAGATCACTAATTCCCTAATGATTCCCCCCAACATTCCCACCCCAACCCCCCCACACAATGATCTTGGATGCAAAAATTCTAAGAAAAACTTGGCAAAGAATATTCAACAATTTACAAAATATGTTAATATATCATACCAAAGTTTTTCATAGAGATGCAAAGTTGATTTAACATTACAAAATTGATCAATGCAATTCCATATCAATGATATAAAATGACATATATATGTAATATGCATATACATATACACATATGTACAAGCATATTACATATACATATTCATAAAATGAATAAGTGTAGAAAAGTATTTCCTAGTAACCCAATATCAACTTCTGTTTAAAATTTTAGCAAACTAGGAATAGAAAGTAAGTGCCTCAATCTGACACAGGAAATCTATTAAAAACTTATCAGAAACACAATACTTAATGACAATAGACTGAATACTTAACCAAATCCTCAGAAACAAATGAGGTTTTGTACATATCATTTCTTTCGGTTTGCTACTAAAGAGTCTGTCAGTGTACTCAGTTAAGGGGGGAAAAACACTAAAAATCATACTAATGAAAAATAAAAAAAATAAATTAACTTTATTTGCAGAAAACATGAACATTTATAGTAAAAATCACTGAATCTTTTAAAAATGTCTGGAAGTAATAGTAAAATTCCAGGATTCAAGATCAACATACAAATAAAAATCAATTGTATATATGGTAGAAGTGAATGTTGATAAATAGAGATTTAAAAAAAGATACCATTCTGTTGTGGGTCTATAGCTCAGAAAACACTCTCAACTGATTTTTTTCCAAATTGGAGAGTCTTTATTTAGCTAGCTGGTGACTGCTCCCTGATGGACCCAAACTGTGTCTGCCAGGAACAGTACGGGGTGCAAGTTCTATGGGGTTTATAAGGGGAAAAACAACATCCTCCAAAATGTAGATGTAAGCAAGCAAGGAGGACACAGAAGCTAAAGTTAACAATCAGCCACCCAATGCATATAACCACATCCTTGTTCCAAACACATGCAGTACAAAAATAAACAACTTTTACAAGAAATAAGTTATATAACTAGGGTTACATTTTGGAACTTCCAAATGGAGTCACTTAGGCAAGGTTTTGTTTTGTTTTTAAGTTGTCAATGGACTTTATTTATATGGGGTGCTGAGAATTGAACACAGCATCTTACACATGCTAGGTAAGCGCTGTACCACATAGCCACAACTCCACCAAAGGCTAAATTCTTTTAAGTACATTCAGAATAACTTAACATTATTTATCCTATTATCTAATCTTGTCTTATCTATTAATATCCTCCATTTTATAGGGTTCTTAATGGGCTGATAACATAATCTAAGTTGGGCTATAACAATTAAAGAAAGCATCAAAAATATAATGTGTGTAGGAATAAATTTTACAAACCTCATTCAAGGAAGCAGGGCTAGTGGGACTCACTGCACAGATGCGGGTGCGCCTACTGATGACGTCCCCTTGGAGCTTCTTTTAGAGGTGCCTTGGCTGCAGGGAGTATCTGGAAAGAACGGAAGAACTTGACCAAGCCCCACAGCTGGACGTGGCTGCTGGTCCTCTGCTTCCTGTTTGGATGCAATGTCCTTCTGATCCTCCTTCCGACCTTGTCTTCCTTCATGTCCAGAGTGCTGCAGAATGATGCAGAGCCAGAGCCACAGATGAGGGCAGAGATCCAGGATATGAAGCAAGAGTTCTCCATGGTCAACAAGATGAATGAGTTTGCCAGATATGCCAGCCTGGAATGGAAGATCAACAGGATGGTGGACCAGCTCAAGACTTATGTGAAAGCACGGACTGCTCAACTAGCCAAGATAAAATGGTTTTTAAGTGTTGCTTTCTATACATTGCAAGCTACCTTGATGATGTCACTCATTTGGAAGTATTATTCTGCCCCAGTGACTGTTGTGCTGAGGAAATGGATAACACCACTAGACCACCTGGTAGCCTTCCCTGCTAGAATAGCAGGTGGTGTTGGAATTACTAGTTGGATTTTTGTCTGGAACAAGTTGTGGCAACCCCTTGTACTTTACACCTTCAGCCAAACAGAAAGATGAATACCACTGTGGGATTTTCTTGTTGTTGTTGTTAAACTGGGGGTTGAACTCAAAGGTTCTTTACCACCTAACCCCAGCCACAGTCCTTTTTATTTTTAATTTTGAGACAGGTTCTTGGTAAGTTGCCCAGCCTGACCTCAAGCTTACCATCCTTGTACCTCTTCCTCCTGAGTTTCTGAGTTACACTTGTGCCCCACCACACCTAGCCCAGCTATTATGACTTCTAAAAATGATTCTCCTATTAGGTTAAAAATCTGATTGCCACTTAAAAATACAAAACAAAAAAACCCAAAGTACATAGGGTAGTTTTGTATTGAATATGTTCTTGGGCTTTATGTGAGATTCTTGTAAGAATCCCAGTATTCTACAGTATTCTACAGTCACACCAGATTTGAAACAGGATGGGGGTCTACATGCCTTACTCCTGATTTGCTCTATTGGCACATTGTGGTCCTGTTGCCAACTGGAAATTCAAAATTATCTAAAAACTTGAAAACTTTTAAAATATTTTAATTTATATTTTTCTTTAGTTGTAGATGGTGCTGAGGATAGAACCCAGTGCCTCACTCATGCTAGGCAAGTGCTCTACCACTGAGCTACAACTGCAGCCCAAACTTAAGTACTTTTAAATCTATTTTAGAAAGTAGCTTAATTTTATTATCACTACTAGAACTTGAACATTTGGTTTATTATCTCATGTAGTAAAATTGAAAGAATAACACTAATTGACATTGTGTGTCCTTTGTGTCTAAAATATTTAGTTGGATGGACATTTCTATAGTGTATATCATCTACTTATTTGGAGCTGATAGTTTTTCATTACAGTGTTTTATAAATGTAATGATGAGACCATAATGCATTGTTTTGTGATTGCATTGTTTTATATTGAAAGCATTTCAAATTAAGTATGTTTTATAAACATTTAATAATTCTGCTGTATAGATTGGAATGAATTTGAAAAACAAAATAGGGAATCTGATTAAGTTAATTTGAATTGATACTTATTTGACTTCTAACATGTAATCACATGACTCAACATTTTAGTCTTCATTGTGTCAGAACACGTGTCTATGTTTTCATTCATATTTTCACTTTTACAATCTTATGAATACTTATATTTCCTGATATACAGATTCAGTCTTTACCCATAATCCTAACACAAACAAGAATTATATTAACCCTTATCTTACCTCTATATCTAAACCAAATTTTACTTAAATCCATATGCCAAAATATGATTTTTTTTAAACCAGAATTGAACTCACTGGCACTTGAGGACAGAGCCACATCTCTAGACCTATTTTGTATTTTATTTAGAGACAGGATTATTTAGCACCTTGCTGCTGCTGGGGCTGTCTTGAAACTCATAATCCTCCCATTTCAGCCTTCAGAGTGGCTGGAATTACAGGTGTTCACCACTATGACTGGCAACAACAATATGAATTTTAAAGTGTATTCTGACTTCTATTTTCAATTACCAATGTTAAATTTGCATTTATATTATGCTACATCTTTTATGGGATATGTATCCTTGCATTCCCATCATTACAAAATGTGTAATTACATGGCTCATTTTTAATTCTTCCTTGTATTACTACATGTATGCTTTTGTACATAATTTCATAGGTGTATTGTTAGAGATATTCATATTTCCACAAACACTTGCTACTTCTAACCCTAACTCAAACCAAAATTTTATGTAAACACTTACCTTATCTCAATTATAAATCCATGTGCACCTATATCAATATTAAAGGGTATTTTTACTTCTAACTCAATTTTCAATATCTAATATACATATTTTATAACGTTATATCCTTTATAATATATATCATTTCATTTCCCATATTTATAAAATATGTAAACACATGACTCACATTTTATTATTCCCTTTGTCAGAACATGTATTTATCTGTTTTCATATAGAATTTCACATGTACATTCTAATGAATATTCATATATCCTCATATATATGTTAATTCTTTAACCCTAACTTAAACAAACATTTTACACAAAAACTTACCTTACCTCAGTACTTAAACCAAATTTTATTTAAAATCTTGCATACCAATATGAAATTTTATGTGTATTTCACTTATGTAATCCTAATATGTATCAATATTAAATTTGCATTTGTATTACTACCTATATTTTATGAGATATATTCTTGTATCACAATATTTACAGAAGTTTTAATCACTTGACTAACATTTGACTCTTTCCTGTGTCACAACCTGCATGCTTATATATGTTATCATACATATCACAACACATACATTTTTATGAATATTGATATTTCCTGATACACGTTATCATTTCTTAACCTTAACCCTAACCCAAAACAAATTTAAATATTAAGCCCTACCTTACCTCAATACGTAAAACATCTTTTATTTTAAAAATATGTAAATTAAAATGAATTTTTATGATTCTCTTGATTTACATAAACATTACAATGTACCATTTATGGGTTATATGCTTGAGTCCCCATATGTAAATAATATTTAATCACCTGACTCAAATTATACTTTTTCCTGTCTTAAAACATGTATGTTTATACACACTTTAATGCATATTTCCACACATATATGCTTAAAATATTGAGATTTCCCAATTATTGTTCTTTAACCCTAAGCCAAATCCAAAGAAAATTAAATATCGAGCTTATCTTTATATTTAAGGGGAATTTTACATGAATTCATGTACCCCAATTATGAATTTAAAGTTTATTTTTGAATTTTATTTCAATTTTGAATGTAAGATATATATATATATATATATATATATATATATATATATATATATATATACTCACATCCCCATATATACAACATATATGATCACATGACTCAAAATGTACTCTCCTCTGTGTTAGAAGATATGTATTTAAATATCTTCACATATATTATTTTGAATATTTATATTTCCCAAGGTACATATTCATTCTTTAACGCACAGCAGAATCTTAAGTAGAATGAAATATTAATCCTTACCTTTCCTTTATAACTAAAACAAATTTCTCTTAAATCCATGTATAATGATATAAATTTTAAAGCTTATTTTAGCTTGTATTTTCAATTATCAATGTTAAATTTGCCTATACATTACATTAAACCATTTATAGAATATGTGTTTGCATCCCCATATTTACAAAATATGTAATCCCATGACTCAAATTTCCCTGTTCCCTTTTTTGGAATATGTATATCTATACATATTTTCAATCATACATTCTTATGTATATTCATGTTTCCCCATATACATTTCAAAAATTTTAATCATTACTCTAACTCAATTCAAAATTTTATATAAGCCCTCAACTAACCTCAATACCTTAACCAAATGTTAACTAAAATCATGTAATCTATTATGAATTTTATGTGTATCAGGACATATATTCAAATACATTAAATTTATCTATATATGTATATATGCATATCATACAATGGATATATATGGGCAACCACATATTTACAAAATTTGTAACCACCTGAATCATATTTTATGTTTTCCTATGTCAGAATATGTACAATGATGTGTTTATATATATTTTAACACATACATTCTTATGATCATGCATATTTTCTGATACACATATTCACTTTTAATCCTAACCCTAGCAGAAACTAAATTATAATATTATCCTTTGTATTACCTCTATATCTAAACCAAATTTTACTTAAATGTATGTACACAAAACAGGTTTTAAAGTATATTTTGTCTTCTGTTTCAATGATCATTTTTAAATATGCATATATATTACTATGTATCATTTATAGTTTATGTCTTTTCAACCCCATATTTTAAAAAAATGTATAATATCATGACTCACAATTTACTCTCTTCTGTGTCAGAACCTGTTTGATTATGTGTTTTTGTACACATTTCCATACATACAATCTTAAAAATATTGATATTTTCTTGTATACATATTCATTCTTATCCCCAACTGTAATCCTAAATAAAATATTATTTTAATCCTTACCTCTATAACTAATCCAAATTTTACATATCTCCATGTAACCCAATATAAATTTTCACATGCTTTTTGACTCCTATTTTCAATTATAAATGTTAAATTTGCATATATATTTTGCTATATCCTTTACAGGATATACACTTGTCTCCCCATCTTTACAAAACATGTAATCACATGACTCACATTTTACACTTCACTGTGTCAGAACATGTGTCTGTATGTTTTCATTCATATATTCAGAGTCTTATGAATACTTACACTTCCTGATATACAGATTCAGTCTTTAACTATAAACCTAACACAAACCAGAATCATATAAACCCTTAATTTACCTCATATCTAAGGCAAATTTTACTTAAATCCATTTACAAAAATATGATTTTTTTTTTAAAACCAGGATTTGAACTCATGGGCACTTGAACACAGAGCTACATCTCCAGACCTATTTTGTATTTTACTTAAAGACAGGGTCTCACTGAATTTCTTAGTGCCTCACTGCTGCTGAGTCTGTCTTGCAACTCAAAATCCTCCTGTTTCATCCTCCAGAGCAACTAAGATTACAAGTGCTCACCACCACACCTGGCAACATTATGAATTTTAAAGTGTATTCTGACTTCTATTTTCAATTACCAATGTAAAATATGCATTTATATATTATGCTACATCTTTCATGGGATATGTATCTTTGCATTACCAATATTAGTAATTAGATGGCTCACCTTATATTCTTCCCTGTATCACTACATGTATGTTTGTATATGTTTTTTTACATTATTTTGTAGGTATATTCTTATGAATATTTATATCTACATGAACACTTGCTAATTCTAACCCTAACTCCAACCAAACTTTTATGTAAACACGTACCTTATCTCAATTACTGAACCAAATTTCATTAAAAACATGTACACCATGATAAAATTTTATGTGTAAAC